GTTTTAACACATATAAGTTGACCGTGTACTTAACAGGCAAGCTGTCACCTCTGTCAGTCTCATTGTTTAGGAATAACTGACCAACTTGATGAGTCAATAATTACTGAGCTTTTCACAAATAATCCAAAAATATGTTATTAAATCCCTTGTTAATCTGTAAAAGAATTATTGCTTGTTTATTACCTGAGATAGTGTTCAGGAGTTATGTCCCTTTGTCATAAGTTTTGAGGAATTCATATGTATATAAAACTTGTTGAGCATTTGGTCCTTAAGAAGACTTCTGACCAATTTGGAACAGAATCCATGCATTCCTACAGAAGCTGAATCTCAAAGGATTTGTTTAATTTTTTGGCCCTGCAACTTCTGTCTAAGGGAAATGAGACCCTCCATTTAAACAAAATTGAGTCCCCTTCACCTGAAAATGCTTCAGAATATATTTGAAAATCCAAATCCAAACACTCCTACAAGAAGAACATGGACATGGTTTTTGCTCTTGTGGTAGTAGTTGCTAAGTTTCCGCCTCAATTTTCACTTTTAGAATTAGTTGCTTTGAGTTGAAAATTATTCTTAACTGCATTATCAGGGAATGGCAGTTTCATGGTTATGTAAATTAAATGAACTCTTACTGTTAAAATCCTCCACAGGTGCTGGAAGGGAAGTGGTCAGACACAAATGTGGAAAATGTATTGGAAAGAGATGAAATTTCAAATAGTTTGTAGAAAATTAGATGGTGATATTTGAAATTTAACTTAATTTGTATGGTAAAATGAAACATTTTAGGAATTATCTTGATCCAGTCCTACTCCATCTCTCGGGTCCAATACAACTGTGATCTCCAGAACTGTGAATATTGCTAATTCAATTTCAACATTTTGCTGGGATGACCTCAAAGCAATGTGGTTTCTTAATTGCTCTAAGTAATACATGATGTATATTTGTTATGTAACAGAGATTACCATTTATTTCAATGCCTCTGCTTGGATTCCAGCCTGGGACCTCTGGCTTATTAATCTAACGCTCAGCCGATTGAGCAAAAGAGAATTTCTCTTCAGCCGAGTGTTATATTGCGACTTGTATTTAGCAAGTTTACAGTTATGGTAAATGAAAAATAGTAAACAATATGTTTATGTTTTTTTAGATCCTGTTTATTAAAAGTTTAAATTATAGATATGTTGATCTTTTTTTAACTTCAATCTTTTGCTTGCTACAGTAAGCAGTGTCTGTAACCTGTCATAGTGTTTTATTTACTGTAGATTTGCAGGTATGGTACACAAGTACGTTTTTGGGGTCAAATACTACCCACTATCAAAGGCCATTGTAAAAATTATTGAGTGTCTGTCGGCTATTACAATTTGTAAATTTGCCAAATTTAAGTTCATTTAATTATCTCTCTTTTTGTGTGTGTGTTGTGTGTGTGTGAATTGTTCAGCAGAGTTTTCTGAAAGTCAAATTTGATCAAAGAAAGTTGGACGAGGAGGAGGGATCTTATAAAATCTGACTTTGACTAAATTGTTGTATTTATAAAAACAAAACAAAAATTTATATTTAAGCACTTTCAAATTTTCAAGCTTCAGATAGGTATATTCAAAGAGCTACTTTTAACAAACTATGATATGCTTTTCAGATATTGAAGTTTTTAAAATTTGAAATTAAAAAGTTTTATTGTGAATAAATTATTAAAATTTGGGTAGATAACATTTATGTGAATCAAATTTAATTCATGGTGTTATTCTAATGTTATTTACAATCTAATTAAAAATCTGTTTTCATATTTTATCATTTCCTTATGATAGCTACTGAGTCATTGTCTGTCATGACACTACACAAAACTATACACACATGACAGACAAGATTCAAAACTGATATACACAAATTTGAAAAATGATTTAAAGATTAAGGTTAAAGATAAAATCATATCGGACTAAAATCTGTGTAGGAGATGTTTCAACCAAATACAAACCACAGATTGTCCAAGCTGTGTAGGCTGACAAAAACACCATAATACTTTATATTATGTATACAAATGTACAGTCATTCCAATAACAAAATTAAATCGTCTTAAAATCCCATTCGGTCAAAACAGCATGCAGAATGCCAGTATGAACAGGGTCAAAGGTTATAAATAACAATGGTTCAGTAGATCCAAAAATTCTTTATCGTGGTCTTGTTGATCGTGATCAAAGTATTGTATCGTGTATTTACCTACTTTATATATACTTAATACTACATAGTGTATTGTAGTTCATACATTGTGTGTTTTCCTTCTTAACACCTATAACCTTAGAGGATCAGAACATTTCTACTTGATATTGGTATTAGAAAATATTACGACCAGTTTGTTGCACGATTTGAATCGTGGTTATTTCATCTTCATTAAATTTGAAGATTTTTTCGTTTAAGTTCATTTCTAAAATTCTGTATCGAAATATTTGGTGGTGTTATGTGTTGAATTTACAAACAGTGTTCTTGGATTCCCTGATTCCAGGTGTGTTGGGCCTCATGATACAAATATTGTCGGATTACTTTTTCTGTGTCATGGTTTCTGAGAACTCGTCATTTCTTTGGCAAGGATATAGTGGTAGTGATACTTCCAGTAGGTTGCAAAGCAATGTGGACAAAAAAGTTTCAAAAACATTTTGACCAGTGATTCAGAGGGTTGAAGATTGGCGGTGTTATTGTACCATGTGACCTGTCCTCTCTTAGATTTGCCTCGGAATTTTCTGTATCTTAAATATAATTTTTTCTGAATGTGACAGCATGCATTTAAAGAGTGACATCACCTGAAACAAAAATTACTGATTCATCGAAATTGGATCATGGGCTACCTGGATCTTCATGGATTCTAGTTTCTGTTCCACACCATTTCTCTAAAAAAAAAAAAAATGGTTATAGTGGAACATAATCAGAACAACACTGGTTCTTATAACAGATTTATGCTGAAATTTACCGTAATTGATTCAGGAGATTTATTTTTATTCTAATTCCGATTCAGAATATGAACAAATGTTTATTGTGAAGGATGACATACTTTCGACAATTTGTCAAAGTTGGATGTTCTTAATGTGACATATAGGGACACGTGCTTGTCTTTTTTCATACTGTATCAACATAACCAACTTCGAAAACCATACGTGTGTGGAACACAGAAGATTTGTATAATTATTGTGTATTGTTGTTAACATTGAGCTTGTCTGAGAGATATATTGAGAAATTGTTTGAAGTTTGATAAATGAAGTGGAAATATGGTGTAGTTTGAGGTAGTCCAAATCAATTAGACTAACCAGAATGAGATTTCTGCCGAGGTCAGAACCAGTTCTCATCGCAGGCATTAAAGAAAAGGTTAGTTTTCACATTAGTCTTCAAGTGAGTGTCGTCCATCTTTGAAATATGCTCAAAAATCGTACAAAAGACATGAGACGATAGCACCTTTAAGTTCAAATTTAAACTAAGATACAGTAGTGCCAAACAATGAATCAAACTGCATCATAAAACAGGATTTGTCACTGATGCCCTAAATTTCACAACCAAAGCGGCTACTGAGGGAACTATAATTGATTGAAAGAAATGTCAGATCTAGATGGAGACATGCACTAGCCCATAATTTCATAAATTTTGTAATTTTATTACTCCGTGTATGATTATTCCTAAAGAACATCAATTCCATGTGTATATTCTGAACTAATTTAAGAGTGAACAGATGCTTAGAATATTTGCAAATGGATATCTTTATGTTTGAGATGCTTTTTTTCAAACTGTATATATATATATATTAATATATATTCTGTCTATATCAATTGATTATTTTTCTTCCAAATGTTAAAAAAATAAATTTAAATACACGATACAATGTATGAAACTTCACTTTTTCTAGATTTTTTTCTGGACAGAAAGAGTAGTTAAGGTAGCATACACCCTTAAGTGAAATTTGCTGTTTTATTTTCACTTTGAAAAGTAGGTTAAGCATTTACAGGGAATTATAGTTGATGGTTGAAATACCTGTAATGTGTATAAGGTACATTTTTAATTCTACTAGGACACAAAATCTCTCGTTAAACATTCACAAATAACTGTGGTGGAACGGGGTCGGATTATTTTCAATGGAAAATACACAAAAAAATTGTACAAATATATATATATATATATAATTATAGTAAATGAGTCTTAGGAAGGTATTTTCATTTGCTATATTCACATACTTGCATTCAATTAGTCGGTTTTAAGATGTGAAAACTGTTTGGTATTTGCCCATTGTGTGGGTAACACAGCTTGTCAAAGGGGACACAATTGACAGGTGGATGTAAGTTATAGTGAAGTAGTCTGTATACTTACACATCCTACAAACCTTAAGTTACTGTTATCTTGGATTCAAATTGAAAATTTGTCAATAGAGAAAATCTTGTAACTACTGCAGAAAAAATCAATTGAAATTTTACTGACTAAACCCTAATAACGTGCTTCACTACAGTAATAATATTTTTTCATTGTCCAGAAGTTATTTTTTCTTTCACCCCGAAATGAAGCAAAATGCGAGAATGTTTTTCTGATGTGTAAGCATACTTAACTGCACTGGTAGTTTTCACACCTCAGCTGACTCAGATACAAGTAAATGGTTATCCTTATTATTCTGAAAAAAAGATGTATTTACCTGGAATATTGAGTTTTGTTTGAACATCTTTTTTCTACGATAAGCCCAGATTTGGAAATATAACTCCCAATAGTGACTCAGAGTAGGAGGATGGACTTATACTTCAGGACAAAGATATAATATACCTTAATATTTCTACAGAAACTGCAATATATTTGTGGGCTTAGTAACGGGCGTTGGCCTGTTGTTGACAGGTGTTTAAAGGAACAATGCAGCAGCCTTCACCTTGTTATGTCCAGATAAGCCATACTTTTGTTTCCCTTAGGTCTTCACTCCATCATTTTTCAAGACCATTAATTTGTATAATACCTATATTGTTTGTGTGTGCTTATGTCTCTTTTCATGTCATTTTTAGGATCGGGAGAAACAAGAACAGTTGAGTGACCTGCTCAACACATACAGTATCAACATCCCTCCCATGCCTGAACTTTTGACAGTGGGAAAGCCAACCTTCAGTGAGGAAATCTTTGAAATTGAACCACATTGGAGTTCTTTGGTGGATAATGCCTCAGTAAGTGTGTGAAAAATAAATTTTTACCTGCATTTACAGGACCTGAAATATATATATGTTAAGTGTTCCTTTGTTATACACAATTTTTTCTGTTCCAAAACCAAATATTCTGTACTTCATTTACATACACACCCTGTGCCTCATAGTCTATCTATATACCTGCAACACCATCTAGGGACTGTATAAGCTTTATAGTTGGTTTACCCACACAACCTCAGATGAACATCCTTGTGTAGTAGGAAAATCCCTACCCACAGCAGTTTGTGTTTCTCAAGAAGGTGAGAAACAAATCTGTTTGTGCTGTCTTGGTTGCCTTTGCCTTTGGTTGATACTTTACTCTAATTGTTCTTAAAGTCATGTGACAGGCCTCTCATATGTTGTTCATTGAGATTGTTACTAACTGCTTAAAAAAGTCTCAAAATTATCTAGGTTTTTGTTTTAGTGATAAACAGCAGACAAAACTATACACCTAATTGTATATGCACATTAACTTTATATTACCATATTCCATACCCTTAATATAAGAATGTTTTACTACAGTACCACTCTGTATCTGTATTTCATTTCCCAGTTTGCTATGAAATATGAAGGTATGTAATTGGCTACTGCAATGTAAAAAAGTGGAATTGGTTCTCTGGTCTGATGCCATAGCTTTTAAATGATATAAAATATACTGATATCATATACTGGAGTCATTCCAGTGATTGTGACCAGCATGATCCAAAAAATCCTCAAACGTGTTTCAGGTGTGCATCAACTAGGTATAGACATATTGATAATGTATCTGACCAAATCACTTGAAAATCAAACGCTTTGATCTTCTGCAGATCCGTGTCAAAAATGGTGAATGATATTTCTAAAAAATTAACAGAAACCTCAAATTACAGAGCTGTTAAAAGAAATAAGTAGTATCCATGAAAAGAAAGAATGACAGAGAAAATGTTTTGGCATTCATCAAATAGGTTAAGAGAGTCCAAATGGCACATATTGTGTTTTTCATTTCTCTCTCTGTCAAGTTGACAAGAATGGTTATCTTGACTGATACTCAACCTTGACTGGGAACACCATGAAGGGACTGTACAGCCATAACTTACATGTAAAATTCTGTGGTAGCGTCTCAACCAGATTGATAAAACATGGTCTTGAAGATTCAATCTTTTTGATATTTAAAGTTCCCTGTTCAACACGTCTTATAATGACCTGTAATGATTTCTTTGTCCAACGAAAATCGGGACTTTTATTTAGAATTAATTATCATCTACTTCGGTGATAACTGACCTGTCACCTATAAAATTGGATATTGTTCCGTTTTTATGCCGTGTTTTTCTTGAACCTGTCAACGTATACATTGGTTGGGAAACTTTAAATGGTCAACTAAGTGGACTTACTGGCCACATATTTGTACAAATTTGGTGGCTATTTAAATTTAGATAGATGTTTTTATTGCTGGTCAATCTGTGTGGAATGTGCCATGTCACGACTTTATCAGGAGTAGACCATTAACGTTGTAGGTAATGAAAACATAGCAGACAAATTTATAGATACATAAAGTCAAGTGAGCTATGCTTTTTTCTAAATACCATCAATGTAGCAGCAGTTATTGGGTTCAGGAAAGTTATTTCACTGTGAAATTAGATACGGGGAAAATAATAGCGTCTGTGAAATTGGATTCAGGAAAGTTGTTTCACATCAGAAAGTTATTTCACTTGTTAAATTATGTCCACAAAAGTTATTTTACCTAAGGAATTTGGCCCAGGAAAGTTATTTCACTTGTTAAATTAGGTCCACAAAAGTTATTTTACCTAGGAATGTTAGTCCAGTGAGATTATTTCACCACAGAATTTGAGTACCGGACCATTATTTTAACTGAAAAAAATTGGGTCCAGGAAAATTATTTCTCAAGAGAAATATGACCTAAGAAAGTTATTTCATCTGAGGAATTTGGCCCAGGAAAGTTATTTCACATCAGAAAGTTATTTCACCTGATAAATTTGGCCCAGGAAAGTTATTTCACCACTGAAACTAAATATTAACTTTCAAGACTTTTTCTGCTTAATGTTGAAGTTTGATCCTTTATTTCAGTAAAATCTTTATTCACATATGTTACCTATTGATGTAGTGGAGCAATAGTATGTACACTAAATAATAACCTACTACATAGTATTATCTGGAATCTAAATCAACATTTTTGTTACTGTTTCATGAGTGTAGATGATAAAAGCTTGTCTGGAAACTCTATCTAGGATAAGATGATAGTTATATCAATGTGCTACTCCATAGGATGTCTGTCTCTGAGTTTTCTGTTACCGGACTTAGCTAGGATAGACTTTGTTGCACTGTCGGAAAAGTTACCTGAGGTATGTGGTGGTAGGGCAGTAGAACTGTTGAATATCGCAACATCACAGACTAAGCAGGCTGACGTGCTAGATATAGCTCTGAAACTCCACTTACTGACAAATTGCATCAACATAACTGGTATATATATAGCACTACAAAGAATTTCAGCCACCCTGTTTTTATATGTTGGACCACTGTAAAAATATGAAAATGTCTGCCCTAGAAATTTAGGTAAGATTGATGTTAATATGTGGGTGTGGTGAGCAAAAATTGAGTGTATAACTTAAATTTCAGAAGAATTTTAAGTTTAATTAATTAACAATTAAAAGCATTAGTATAGAAATAGATATGGCAACAGTTAAGAAATTTTTAATTGGCGATCGTGAAAGGGGACTTTTTGGAGGAATTATCTGTGGAATGAGTGTTTTAACTTTATTACTCTTTAGTTGGAACCCATTAATAACAACATTTAGAAATTTGACTTGTCTCTCACCATTTCTATCTTAATGAAAAAAAATTTTGACATTACTGATAGTAGCTAACATAATTGATTACAAAGAGTAACCACTTGTAAAATATTTTATTAAGAATAAGTAGTCAGTGTTTTAAAAGAAACAAATAAAAAATATTTCGTGATGATTTGGAAAGGAATTTTTTTTAAGTTAGGAACAATATTTACTTACTTCATGCATATTGAGATTAAACTTTGTTAGATATCCAAGTTTTTGTTAATTTTTTATCTTTTTTTTTAAGTTATATTCTTTTGTTGATTGCAGGCCTTGACAAAACGGCAGCATGACCAACAGGAGGCAGTTTGGGAACTCTTACAGACCGAAGTCTACTATATACGATCACTACGCGTCATCACTGATGTTAGTAGGCTGACGTAGTTAATCTGTAACGAGCTCAGGGGGCCAGTTCATTGTCTCTAACGCAAAGTCAGAAGGCGGGCTTATATAGCAATTGTAAAATAGTTTATGTTGAGTACATGGTATTAAACTCAAATATACACAATGCTGCAACACTATTTTGTCCTACAAAGAATACATAACATACAGAGTTTAAGATGACGTTGATTTTGATAAATTGATTTTTGTGTTTATAACAACCTGTAAGAATTGACCAGGATTATAGTGTAGTCAAAAAGTCATGTCAATTAGCTAATTTACACTTCAGAACACATTAGCTTCGCTGGTCATTTGTCTAAGCGTAGTTACCAAAATGGCCCATATTTGATTTTCTAACTGCTTTTTATATAGGGAAAAGAACTCACAAATATTTCATGATTAAGATATCATTTTTTCTTTGCACTTTCTCTGCATTTCAAATTTTGGAGGATTGCCAGGTGTGTGATGTATGTTTCAGTGAAAACATTTCCCTATTCATCAATCAGTGTGAATCTTATTTCTTAATGTGACATATACACAGGATTTACACATAGAAATGAAATGTTTGCGACTGAAATCTACATTGCATGTTCTTTTTCGACATTCCAGCTGTTCATGTGCTGTCTCATCAATCTTCAAAGTGAACAATTATTGAACGAGGTAGGTTAACTGTCGTTTAAGCATAATCTTCACCAGTATACAGTCACAGCATTAGTGTCTGTTTGTGTGTATATACAAACTTCAGCCATCTGCGACGTCCTGCATTCAAAATTATTTATACTGAACAAACACATAAAAGACAGTGTGACCAAATCTTTTATACCATCGTGGATACCATTATAGATGTTTTGTCTGGGTTTTTTTTCTGGATGCATTTTGTGGTGTATTTTGATATCATGAAGTGCTGAATTTTTAATCGTGTTCAAGATAATTACTTAAAGGGCATGAAATGAAAGTTTTGCAACATTGCAGATTTTTCTGATGCATAATGACTGTTGCGGAATAATTTTACTATGTATAAAATTGTCAAAATATTTTAATCTGTGGCATTTGTTAAAATTTCAACTAAACAACATCATTTTCATCATGAACAGTGATTAATACATTATTACACAACATTTATAATATCGTAAATTTTCAAAGTATGTGATTGGATATTTCCCCTTTAACTTTTAGATTGATACTGAACGTCTTTTCTCGAATATTGGAGATATCGCCTTCACAAACAGCTCTTTCTGGGAGAACTCCTTGTCCAAAGTATTACAATGTGCAAGACAGAGTCGTCTCCCCCTTAATCCCTCGGACATGAAGGAGGGCTTTAAACAGGTACCTACTGACTGCTGTTCAAACTTATTCTGTCAGACCTCCAAATCATGTATGATATTTGGTGATACTAAACCACAAAACGTATTGATTCTGAGAAGGACATGATTGGATAAAAATACATTCTGTTTTGCACTAAATGTATTTTATCAGCAGTTAAGCTCTTATTAGAAATACCAATAGGAAAATTCTTCTAGGAATGTGTTAATCAATTTCTGTGATTGTTTATTTTAGTTGTTTGTTAACAGGCTGTACGTGAGCTACAGCCTTTTGGCCTTCAGCAGACAATCTGTTATTATTCAGAAAATCTCTTGATTAAAAAAAAAAAAATTCCGTCGTTGTGATAATGTAAGTGACCTTCATTTCAGTTCCCAGAGCTGTTTAGTCCTTACACGAAATACTTTTCCGAGCAGAAAGCTTGTGCTGACTACATGAAAAGCCGATATAGTGATAATGAGTTATTCAAAACTTTTGTGGTGGTAAGTATCAGTAGTGATGCATAGAATAATATCATTATAATGATCAACAACTGTTGCCTGGGTCAAAGGTCAGATAACATATACTAGGGTGCAGCATTTGTGGTCGGGTGGCTTTCAGGTAACACACTTGCCTTTCACCTAGGGATGGGATTTCCCAATCAAAGATGCCAAAAGGTATGGAATCCCCTGCCAGACCATGTGGGTTTCCCCCTGGAACAAGAGTGACGAATATTAAGTAATAGCTCGCTTCACCTTTTGGTAAAAAAGATAAGATTCTTACGTAAGTTTCAATATTTTTTCTAAGAGTGTCTTCTGTCCATCTTTTTGTAAGCTTGAAAACATGAGTAATGTATAGACAAAAACAACATTCTGTATAGGTGGTAATTATCAAGGGTAAATATTTTCATGATTTTCCGATAAAACTATTGAATTATATAATATGACTAACGAAAATTTCCCAAATTGAATGTCAAAAATAATCTTATACTTACAAGTCTTATTATTATTTATGGAATTTAATTCTCCCGATCACATTAAAGTACCCCGAAAAAGCAAAAATATCATTCCCGCGATTATGACTAGCTATATAGTAGTTTATCTTCACCATGAAACATGGTGTGAACCAAACATGGGTAAAAAGGAATCAGTTCAAACAAAGGTTAGCAGAAAGCAATGTCTAACAATGGGCTTTTGTATTAATCAATGATTGTGAATTTAAGATCAAGTGAGGCATTTTAGAATCAGGGTTTCTGTCCATCTGCTTGTCTGTCCGTCCATCCGTTAGTTTGAAGGAAGAATCTCTACTATAGCTATTTCCATAAAACAGGGATCAGCTCTTCAATTTAAAATAAAGAAATTCTTCAACATGAGCTTTAAGCCACTTTTCATATTCTGTGAAACTTGTATTGTGTAAGTGTTGAATCAAATATTGTTTAAACTTTTGATTACCAAACTACACAGTAGCTTCATGCTATATCTATTTTTGATTTCAATGGTTTTTCTTGTTTGTTTTTGTTGTTTTTATTTTCCTCATGAGTTTGATATTCAATTATAATGATTTCCTAATATGGCGTTAAGTTCTGGTATAATTTGATTCAAGGAAGCAGTACAGGTATATCATTGGTAGTTGTCTTTAAATGTGATTAATTCGTTTGTTCCACAGTGGGCAGAGACCCAGAAACAGTGCAATCGTCTGAAACTGACCGATCTGTTGGTCAAGCCGATGCAGAGGCTGACCAAGTATTCCCTGCTGCTTCAGGCTGTGTTACGGAAGACGGATGATGAGAAACAGCGCAAAGATGTCCTGGAGATGGTGGGTCACAGCTGTAAATTACAAGATTCCTACAGTGTTTAGAAACAAATAATATATAAACTTCTCATGTCTTGTTTTTTTTATTAGATAAAATATGTTGGAAACAGTAAACAGTCTAGTCAGATAATGCTACTATGGTTCTTGAATGAGTTCATTGTACAGCAAACAAAAATGGAAAGAAATATTCCACTTTTGAATTTGGTCAAATTTTAGAAACTGTTCACTTTTCTTTATAAGGTTCAGTGCCTCAGTAGGACACAGACGTTTCCAGAACTACTTACAGTTCAGATTTTTGAGATTTTTAGTATATTTCATGATGTATATACAAGGTTGATCAGGTGGAACCTCTTTACTACATTAGTTAAAAGTGGAAGTGATTCTTGTATAGAAATGTAGTTTAGATCTATACAGACTGTAGGGTTCAGCAGAAAGTTTTGTTTGGACTAGAACTGCATTGTTACACAAGAATTCAATTTGTATTGATTTTGTGAATTCAACTTACACAGAAATTGAATTTTTGTGATACCATTTAAAATGAAATAATTGAATTTTCGTGATTCCAACTTACAAATAAATAGATTTTTTGTGGATCCAGATTAGAAAGACATTAAAATCTGTGAATACAGATCTGCCGTCTTTGACATAATTCATGATAGAGTTGTCTCCCTTATTTCAGATTGCCAGTGTAGATAGATTTGTCTCACATGTAAATTCATCACTACGACAGCGACACGAACAGGAGCGCCTCGCAACTATAATGACGAAAATTGAGTCTTATGAAGCAGTGGAGGCACCTAATGACGAAAGTTTCAAGGTGAGGATAATTTCTGACAATAAACTCCATATAACAAAGGGACAAAACTTCATGTAATAAGCCTGCAATATGGCAATCTATATTTATAGTAATTTTTCTTAAACTTCCTATGATCATTGCCGATCTCCTTAACTTTTTGTCCAAGGTAGATTTATTCTCTGCCTAGGTTAAAAGCTGATTAACATCTGTGAGATTGCAGATGAAGTTATTACGGAGTCACTAAGGATTGATTTTATAGAAAATTGCTATTATTTATTTATTAATGTTGATGAAGATATAGTGATGTATTTCCTGCAAGGTTTTCTGCTGTATAAGTTATTTAGAGGTTATATAAAGCATCGTTTGTTTCACAGTATTTACAGGAGTATAATAATAACTTTGACCTGCGGGCCCCCATGCCTGGTTGTGCTGGAGGTCAGACTCGCTCGCTTATTATGCAGTCAGTGCTTCGCCTCAAGGATTCACAATCACGGGTAAATCCACATTTATCATCTATGACACTATAATATTATTTAAACCTCGATTTTCCATAAAAATCTACACTTTTTCATTGATGTCTTGAGCAAATTTAAAACTCAAATGTCTGCAAGTTTCATGCTATCATTCAAATTGTAACATTTTTCATGCCTTGTGTTGTAAATGACTGGTGAGTGTCTCCAATCGTAACTTTGAATGAATTTTATTTTCTGTGTATGTTGAGCGCCACCTATAATGACCTTGAATTTTGTTTTAGTCAAATGTTAAGCTCCACCTATAATAACGTTGAATTTTGTTGTAGTTTGACGTTGAGTGCCACCTATAATAACGTTGAATTTTGTTTTAGTCAAATGTTGAGCTCCACCTATAATAATGTTGATTTTTGTTGTAGTTGGACGTTGAGCGCCACCTATAATGACGTTGAATTTTGTTTTAGTCAAATGTTGAGCTCCATCCATAATAATGTTGAATTTTGTTGTAGTTGGACGTTGAGCGCCACCTATAATGACGTTGAATTTTGTTTTATTCAAATGTTGAGCTCCACCTATAATAATGTTGAATTTTGTTGTAGTTGGACGTTGAGTGCCACCTATAATAACGTTGAATTTTGTTGTAGTTGGACGTTGAGTGCCACCTATAATAACGTTGAATTTTGTTGTAGTTGGACGTTGAGTGCCACCTATAATAACGTTGAATTTTGTTGTAGTTGGACGTTGAGTGCCACCTATAATAACGTTGAATTTTGTTGTAGTTGGACGTTGAGTGCCACCTATAATAACGAATTTTTGAGTGCCACCTATAATAACGTTGAATTTTGTTGTAGTTGGACGTTGAGTGCCACCTATAATAACGTTGAATTTTGTTGTAGTTGGGCGTTGAGTGCCACCTATAATAACGTTGAATTTTGTTGTAGTTGGACGTTGAGTGTCTCCTATTCACCGACCTCTTTCTTATATGCAAGCCTAGTAAAAGAATGGAGAAGTATAAAATAATCAAGGCTCCTATGCGAGTCGACAGAATAATTACACAAGAACTCAAGGACAAAGGTAGGTAACTCTATTTGCACACAATTCATATGCTGTTTCACAGAAGTGTTCAATAAAACAAAAACAGAAGTTGCATATAGCTGCATATTTTATACCCATTATCGGGCATAATTTCTGAAAATTCTGGTTTATAACTTAGAAATTTTATGGAATAGATTATCTGGTAAAAGCTATATGGTGTCTGGTTTCAACCAGGATATTATGCTCATCATCAGATGTTCAATCTACTTTGATTCTTAAGTAAGGCTCTAGCTCATAAATCCTGGTAAATACTAGGTGTTGTGTTCCTACTAGCCGGAGATCAGAACTGAATTTTAGGTAGATCATTTGGGTGTCCGATTATAAAAGTGAAACATCTCTGATTCAGTCGTTTATTGAAACCATGGTGTTAATTATAACCTCTGTTTTATTGTTGCTCAAGTATTGACTTTGTAAACACAGGTCGATCTGTCAGTATTAGAAACATGTGACCCAATCAGAAGTACATTTATGTGTTTGGTGTTATACACAGAATTATCTTTTCTACTCAAAACAGTAAATTTTGCATGCTTTTAATGGATGCATATACTTAGGACATGTATTGGATAAACAAATATTATTAGTGAGAAAAATTTTAAGATGGATTATGTCTTAATGATAAAATTTTGATTTCTCCAACACTGGATTTTGTGTCTTTGAGTTTTCAAATTTTCAAGGCCATTGTATTGATAGTTTGTAAATCTGTCTACATTGATGTTTTGTTTGAAATTTAGAAAATGCGATGTGAAATTTTTGTACACACAGGGAGTTTTCTGATGATTTACCTCAACGAGTACCATGTACCTGTGTCAGCATTCACCTTCCATGGTGACCAGGCAGCCATCAGAGTTTGGCTTGAACATATACGAAAAGCTCAGGTAAAGGGAGGCAACTCAACTAGACTCAATATTTTCACACCTGTAAATCAAATTTGACATCAATTTCAGGCAAAAGCTAATAAATTGTAATTGAAAAAAAAAACTATATATCTATATATATTTTTCAGTTTTAGTTTCTCAGCGTATGGTATATTGTATAGAAAAAAAAAATTTTTATATTTATTTTTTTAGTTTTTGCTTTTGTTGGTTTCAATTTTGCTATAGATTCATTTAAATATTTATAGAATTGTATGTGAATTTCCATTTCACCAGAGCGTTATGAAAGAGTCTTAGAATTTTAGAATTTTCTATTTTAAGTGTTGGGGGTTGAGGATGGGTGCCTCTTGCAACCTAGAATATTTTGAATTAATTAATATCCAAAAACTGTTAATTCGTATAAGTGATTTCCGTGTTTATTCATTAAAACAAACAAATCTGTAAACATACATAATTTGGCTCAATCAGATTTTTGTGAAATTCCAATTTTTCATAGATTCAGAACAACCAAAGCACAATAACACGTAAATACAGCAATTAGTACAAGAATATTACTGAATAATAAATTCACTGTCAAAAGAAAATCTATCACCAAAATGTGTATGTTTACAGTATGTTGTAACATGATCTCCAACATTCAGTGTGACATTTTGAATTGGAAATAAGACTGCTTTTTCTGTTTGATCAGGCGCTTTATCGAGACATTCGTAACCCGACGCAAGGCTCAGACGGTTTCTCATATCTGTCTGGAGGGGAGCTGGTGGAAGAACAGGTTATCAACGTAACTCCAATATCACCCCTCCCTATGGATCAGCCTGATGTAGTGATGTCACGCTCCGCCGGCAACGAGCCTGGACAGCATTTCCTGTTTCCTAACAATGCTGCAGGACAGTGTAGTCCTGGGCGAACGTCGCCCATAAGTAATGAACCACAGTCTCCTTCACCTTATGTCAGTCATCCTCGCCCTGCAAAGTCACATAGTTACCATGGTGGCGAAAAACATCACAAACATGTGCAATCATCGAATTCTGTGTCAAGTTTTGGTGACAGTATCCCAGATGATGATAGACTAAATATTCCGCACTCGACGGGGTCATCTGCGAATAGCGACTCTTCTCTACCAGATATTGTTGACGAAAATCAAAAAGTGAAACTTAGTCAACGAAGGTCATCACGCAATGGAAGTCGCTACATCACAGCTGACAATATACAAGACTTGAATAAAGATGATAAAGATACTAGTATTCATAAACGTCTCTCATGGAATTATGGCACTACGGACAATGATGAAAGACAAGGTGTTCTGAAAACCAAAACTCAAAGTTCAGACTCTCTCAGGAGTATTCATAGTTCCAGTGGTGTAAGTTCGACTGGATCTCTTCACCTAAGTCCAGAAGACATGGAATATAGTTCCAATAATCATGGTGATATTTGTACAATTCATGAATGTAGACATGATGATTGTGATATTAATGAATTACATCGAAATTCAGAGACCAACGACATATCAACATTGTTCCAGGCGATGTCTACAAGCGAGATCAACCAGGGTATTGTTTCTGTAGATTTGCCTTCAATTGATAAAAAACTCACACATGCACAGCTGATGAAAATGAAGAAACAGCTCCTTCTATCGTCAAATGTCGAGGCCAGGTATGGAATATGTTGTGCTAAAACATTGCTGCAATTTGTCTATTCACACTTTCATGCTGTCTATTCACACTTTCATGCTAGTTTTCTTCCAACTGTCAAGAGTTCTCAGAGTAAAGTTTGTTCATTCTATTACCATTTCGGCTTAAAAATTGTGTACTTTTGTGAGTACAAGTCATTTGGGAATCGATGTTAAAAAAACAATCATACATAAAACATGAAAGTACAAAACCTTTAACAACCTTGTTTTTAGCTCACAAGGTCTAAAAGGACTGCTGAGCTTATGCCATACTACAGGTGTCCGTTGCCCATCTGTCTGTCATCTTTTTCTACAAATTACTACTAATCATGAACAATTCAGTGGAATTTTACCAAATTTGGTCAGAAGCATCCTTGGGAGAAGGACAGCAAATTTTGCATAAATGGTTGATCTTGGGACATCCTTGAATAAATTGAAATCAGTTTTGTTTAAATGATAGATTAAGGCCCCGTTGGATGGGAGGGGCAGGACCCATTCAAGGGGCAGTAGAGGAAATTCTTTTAAATTCTGTTGGAAATGCAGGATTCTGTCCCAATTTATTATAAAGCATGAGTTGTTTGGCTGACCCCTTTATGACAGGGGATGGGGCCAGATGGGGAAAAAGATATAGTGTAAACGTGTTGTAGTTGTGTGCTTGGAAAATTTGAATTCATTTTACTTTTGTTTAGATGAAGCAATTTCAGTCAAACAAAATCAGGTGAGAAATACAGGCCCTGTTGACTTCTCGTTTTATGTCCCTGCCTATATTTCCTCTGATATTAGTTGAGTTAAGGATATATGCTATTTTAAGTGTTATTATATCTGTGATTTGTGGTTGAGTTAAGGATGTATGCTATTTTAAGTGTTATTATATCTGTGATTTGTGGTTGAGTTAAGGATGTATGCTATCTTCAGTGTTATTATATCTGTGATTTGTGGTTGAGTTAAGGATGTATGCTATCTTCAGTGTTATTATATCTGTGATTTGTGGTTGAGTTAAGGATGTATGCTATCTTCAGTGTTACTATATCTGTGATTTGTGGTTGAGTTAAGGATGTATGCTATCTTCAGTGTTATTATATCTGTGATTTGTGGTTGAGTTAAGGATGTATGCTATCTTGTGTGTTATTATATCTGTGATTTGTGGTTGAGTTAAGGATGTATGCTATCTTCAGTGTTATTATATCTGTGATTTGTGGTTGAGTTAAGGATGTATGCTATCTTCAGTGTTATTATATCTGTGATTTGTGGTTGAGTTAAGGATGTATGCTATCTTGTGTGTTATTATATCTGTGATTTGTGGTTGAGTTAAGGATGTATGCTATCTTGTGTGTTATTATATCTGTGATTTGTGGTTGAGTTAAGGATGTATGCTATCTTGTGTGTTATTATATCTGTGATTTGTGGTTGAGTTAAGGATGCTATCTTGTGCTGTGATTTGTGGTTGAGTTAAGGATATATCTATTTTAAGTGTTATTATATCTGTGATTTGTGGTTGAGTTAAGGATGTATGCTATCTTCAGTGTTATTATATCTGTGATTTGTGGTTGAGTTAAGGATGTAGGCTATCTTCAGTGTTATTATATCTGTGATTTGTGGTTGAGTTAAGGATATATGCTATTTTAAGTGTTATTATATCTGTGATTTGTGGTTGAGTTAAGGATGTATGCTATCTTGTGTGTTATTATATCTGTGATTTGTGGTTGAGTTAAGGATGTATGCTATCTTGTGTTATTATATCTGTGATTTGTGGTTGAGTTAAGGATGTATCTTGTGTGCTATGTGGTTGAGTTAAGTGTTACTATATCTGTGATTTGTGGTTGAGTTAAGGATGTATGCTATCTTCAGTGTTACTATATCTGTGATTTGTGGTTGAGTTAAGGATGTATGCTATCTTGTGTGTTATTATATCTGTGATTTGTGGTTGAGTTAAGGATGATGCTATCTTGTGTGTTATTATATCTTGATTTGTGGTTGAGTGTTATTATATCTGTGATTTGTGGTTGAGTTAAGGATGTATGCTATCTTCAGTGTTATTATATCTGTGATTTGTGGTTGAGTTAAGGATGTATGCTATCTTCAGTGTTATTATATCTGTGATTTGTGGTTGAGTTAAGGATGTATGCTATCTTCAGTGTTATTATATCTGTGATTTGTGGTTGAGTTAAGGATGTATGCTATCTTCAGTGTTATTATATCTGTGATTTGTGGTTGAGTTAAGGATGTATGCTATCTTGTGTTATTATATCTGTGATTTGTGGTTGAGTTAAGGATGTATGCTATCTTCAGTGTTATTATATCTGTGATTTGTGGTTGAGTTAAGGATGTATGCTATCTTCAGTGTTATTATATCTGTGATTTGTGGTTGAGTTAAGGATGTATGCTATCTTGTGTGTTATTATATCTGTGATTTGTGGTTGAGTTAAGGATGTAGGCTACATTAGGCACATTTTACCTGTAATATTGGTTGGATTGAGTTAAGCCTATATGCTACATCACACATTAAGCTATGATTGTATTACAATTAATCTTAAATTTTATGTCAGTTCAAATTTCATCTGTAATTTCTGTGATAACTTTCATCAAGTTGTTATCAGCAATTTTTTATATGGTTTGTTTGTAAGATTTAGTTGAAACTCTACATTAACATTGTGTATTTGTAACCAATTTTTAACATTTTTTTTGTGTTTTTTTTTCTGTTTCAGTGAAGTATGATTGCAATATTATGGACATCTTGTCAGTGCTGTCTGTGATGAATTCCTCAAATCCTGTGCTTTCCTTTCGTTGGAGTGAGTGCTTTATACATTGTGATGTACCAAAGGTTGTGATTGGCTGCTTTATTACTCATTACCATGAAACAAAGAGTGTGATTGGATAAACCATTTCAGAATCCTTTTAAAAATGATTGATTGATTGATAGTGTGTGATCAAATTTACATCGGAACCTACTTCAGCCTATAGTGGATTTTCTCTCATAGCGGCTGGAATGTGGAAACCTGTCTCTGAGTGGGACATTCAGATTGAAAACCTGGAAATTTGTCCCCTATGTGGGACATCCACTTGAATATGTGGAAATTGTCATATCAAGTGGGACAAACAGATTGAATGTGTGGAAAGTGATCTGTCATCACCTGAGACAATACAACTGAATGTGTGGAAAGTGATCTGTCATCACCTGAGACAATACAACTGAATGTGTGGAAAGTGATCTGTCATCACCTGAGACAATACAACATTGTCATGAGACAATCTGAATGTGTGGAAAGTGTCATCACCTGAGACAATACAACATCTGTCATCACCTGAGACAATACAACTGAATGTGTGGAAAGTGATCTGTCATCACCTGAGACAATACAACTGAATGTGTGGAAAGTGATCTGTCATCACCTGAGACAATACAACTGAATGTGTGGAAAGTGATCTGTCATCACCTGAGACAATACAACTGAATGTGTGGATATATGTCCTTAAGTGGGAAAATTGGAAACATGGAAATTTGCCCCCACGTATTACAAAGGAAAGGGAACCTGGAAATCTGTCCCTCTAAAGTGTAACGGAAAAAGATTGGATAAACAAGATGTACCTGTGCTCAATAGCAAAAAACTTGTTGTACCAAAGGTTGTGATTAGTTGCCAGCTTTACCTCATCCTTATAAGGATATGGGTGTCAGTTGTGATGATCTGTACATGACAATGTAAACCTGTGATTGGATACCTTGCTTATAACAAGGTGTCAACCGACTTGGTTGGTGATATGCTAGTGATGATTGAATCAGAAGCAAACATGCATGACAGTTTTACGTCTACATTTCGAGCTTGAAGACTCTAGAAGTAATTTTGTGTCACATATGGGTTCAGTGTTATTACTCAGTGTCACAAGCAAGCTGCAATATAATACCTGTGTTTTTTTTACCTGTTGTAACTTACTCGAATACAGCCACAAACTTTAAAAGTAATTATTTTTTAGGGTTCTAATCATGAAAAGAATAGATTGTGAAAATGAAATTATTTCAGAGGATAGTCAGTTTTATGACTTCTGTGTAAAAATTCTGTTTTGATTTAAATAACTTTTGATAAAACAACAGAAATTTGAACCTTAAGAAAAAAAAGATTTCTTAAAGAAATATGGCTGGTGGCGGACCGTAAGTGCTGAGAGGAGAATTTATACTCAAAATTTCTAGAATCATTATTATCATATATTTATACTGGTGAATACATATGTGATGGTTCCAGGAGGTTGCTCTGATATTAATCAAGGGACATAATTCCTTTTTTTAAGTCAGGGGCTATAACTTTATAATCAGAGGACAATTCTGTGATGTCATATAAAACCAGAGTGTTTATCTTTGTTATCGTAACTATTATACGCGAGTCTTTCACCTTTGTCTGTGGAGGCAGTCCATGACGTGCAAACACCAGGGTGACCTGGATTCTTCACCCAATTATTTAATATAATCTGTTGGGTTGGATATTACCTCCACATCCCATAATATGTCTCACAATTGTTTATTTACTCTGTGATTGGTCATTCAATTTATCCAGTATCTTACAGATGTGAATTATTGTACTATTTACTGTTTTTCTTCTGAACTGGTGACAATATGTATATTTCTAGTACACAGTAGACCCATATTCAAATCTAATTCAATATGTTACCTTGAAATAGATGAACATCAGAATATCTTAATGACTAAATATACCACTGTATGGATTTGTAAGTCTCGTGAGTTGGAAAATATTTAATAAGTAATAGTAAATGAAAACTTACCTATTAAAAACCTGTGCTATGTTCTAATGATATCCTTGGAAAAATAGTATCCATTTTCCTTGTATTGATGCCAAATTAACTGTTTTGTCCTTCAAGGACTTGTCACATTTGAATTTTGTGCAACATTATCAATTGCCTTAAAGCTAGAGGACTCCATTGTAGTTAACCTCAACATTGAGGGTGGAAGGGAATGTAACGCCTGAGATACTAGATAATAGTGGAAATGAACTCTTGCCACAATAATATGTACTGTACTGTCAAATAATTTGATACTACAGATCGGGTACCTTATAACTTGTTACTGTAGGGCCCGAAGTCAAATAATTTGTTACTAAGGACGGGGTGCCTTATAACTTGTTACTGTAGGGTCCGAAGTCAAATAATTTGTTACTAAGGACGGGGTGCCTTATAACTTGTTACTGTAGGGTCCGAAGTCAAATGATTTGTTACTAAGGACGGGGTGCCTTATAACTTGTTACAGTAGGGCACGAAGTCAAATAATTTGTTACTAAGGACCAGGTACCTTATAACTTGTTACAGTAAGGCACGAAGTCAAATAATTTGTTACTAAGGACCAGGTACCTTATAACTTGTTACAGTAAGGCACGAAGTCAAATAATTTGTTACTAAGGACCAGGTACCTTATAACTTGTTACTGTAGGGCCCAAAGTCAAATAATTTGTTACTAAGGACCAGGTACCTTATAACTTGTTACAGTAAGGCACGAAGTCAAATAATTTGTTACTAAGGACCAGGTACCTTATAACTTGTTACAGTAAGGCACGAAGTCAAATAATTTGTTACTAAGGACCAGGTACCTTATAACTTGTTACTGTAGGGCCCAAAGTCAAACAATTTGTTACTAAGGACCAGGTACCTTATAACTTGTTACAGTAAGGCACGAAGTCAAATAATTTGTTACTAAGGACCAGGTACCTTATAACTTGTTACTGTAGGGCACAAAGTCAAATAATTTGTTACTAAGGACCAGGTACCTTATAACTTGTTACTGTAGGGCCCTAAGTCAAATAATTTGTTACTAAGGACCAGGTACCTTATAACTTGTTACTGTAGGGCCCAAAGTCAAATAATTTGTTACTAAGGACCAGGTACCTTATAACTTGTTACTGTAGGGCCCAAAGTCAGATAATTTGTTACTAAATACCAGATAACCTGTTACCTTATGGTCGGGAGTTGCTCTTTGAACACTGCTCTGTACAATATTTATCACTGTCTGATTGTTATAAAAGAGTTGCACAAGGCTTGTAACTCTATCACTACAATAAATACTGTTTAAATGATATACATTTTATTTATCCACAATTCTATAGGAGAATCACTTCGAAGTGAATCTGTGAATGAAAACTGTCTCGGTATTAATGTTTAGCACATATGTCAGTCTTTACCACCATTCTGTTGTCCAAAAAGTTGACAAAATATTATAATTTATAGTTAATTGTCTCGATTATTTGTAGTAAAAGATTTCTCCCTGTGACAGGAAATCTACAGTCAGTTATAGATACGATTTTTATACTTACTGAAAAATCATTAATTTTCTTGGAGAAGTTATTTTCATTGATTTTGTGGGTATTCTTCACAAATTCATTTGTCCAACTGGTGTTAAAATAAATTTAAGTAGATTTATTGATCTCTAGTTATCTACAAAATTTAGTGTCCGTAAAAAAGTGGGGTTTTTTTTTTTTGTGATTTAACCACGAAAATTGAACCCCATGTAAATATCTGGTTTTACAGTATAGCACAAGATTAGTATGTACTGTGTAGTAAGAAGTTCTGACTAAACATCCCAAATACTTATTGCATGAATGAAGTATGGTGTTTTAATTCAAAATCTTTATTGAATGAAAAAGTTGTTTTGTAATGTAACAGTTGATATTGATAAAAACCAGCATGAGGATGCCAGTTATTTTTTTTTTTTTTTTTTTTGGGGGGGGGGGGGGGGGGGGGGGGTATTTTTTATATCATTTTTTTTATTTCTGTAATAAAGATATAAAAATGTAGCAAATGTTAAATATTCTTTTTCAAGTGTTGGGTCACTTGGACGATTCTTGATTTTGGAATTATTAACAATTTAGAAGATTTGCTGATTATTGGTCAGCAAAGATAATGTTGATAAACCTTAACAGAATATTAGTTTCATAATAAAACTTAGTTAATTTGTTTGATAGTCTGTACTTGCATACAGAGAATGCATATGATCTGACTGATTTTTGATGTCTTCCAAAGTCAAGAGGAAATAGATCTGATTTACATGTTTAAAGATATTGGCTGTTTAAATTAAAAAATGATTTAGGAAATTGATTGGAAGGAAGGGGGAGTTATAATTTCATAGACTTCGAGTGTGCACTTGAACCACAAGTTCATCCTCACTGTTAAATTAAATATAAGAAGATTTATTGAGCCATTTTATATAATAAAACTAAGGGTTTTGGTTTTATTTTTATAAATACAGTACAGATATAGTAAAAATAAAATAAAGTTAATGGTTAATAAAATGAAAAAAAGTTTGCAAAACACTATAATTTATTAACTAGAACCAATCATTTATCAGTCAACAATTTTAGAAATTCAAAATCAATATTAAATCTTTCCTCATGGTGGTTTTTCGTTTTTATGAAATACATGTATGTAATAAAAGAAAAGATGTCAGCCTTATTTTCTACATGCACATATCAATTGTTGTATGCAAAGGATTATTTGAAAACATATTGTACTGTGAACTTTTACTACTTTGTGAAAGTATATGTGAATCATGTTGAGTCTCGTTTTAAACTTCTACCCCCAACACTGCCATTTTATATAGATCAATTAAAAAAAAGCAATGGTGAATTTGATTAAATACCAAATATGGTCAAATAGATATCTTCCAATAGCTGCCTTATGGGTTAGCCATATTCAGTGTCAGTTTTGCGATTATTTAATTACCCTTGGAATTTTGTTTCATAACCCTCAGCTACATCATGATTTTGCTTAATGTTTTTTTTAATCAATATAACTGACTTACTTCAAAAATACATATTTTGGTGGTAATCTTATTTTAGTGCTTTTTGTGCTGAAAGTATTGAGGTAAAATATGATAGTAATAATTCAAGATTCTTTATGCTGATCATATAGTAATGCACCATTTTATCTTTGCATGAATTTGCCAAAAATTGTTGATGCGCTAAAATTTGATAAATTTAAGTATATGTACAATATTTTAATATTGAACTCGTAATGTTAATAGCCAGTGCTATATATAGCCACCTTTAAATGATATTTATTTATCAAAAAACATTGCACAAAGTTTTAAATTGGATTTTCATTGGAAGAACTACCAAGGTGACAGACTGTACTGCAACACTACCAAAAAGTCTGAACTTGATTTTTTTCTTTGGCCTTTGGAGTATTTGTTAGAGTTTGAAATACAGTAAATGAAACCTATGACTGATAATATGAGAAAGTATTTTTTTTCTTTATTTCCAAGTTAGTCACAGTAACAGCATTCCAAGTAGTAAAATGTCTCTTGAATTTCCCTAACTTCAAACTATCTATTCCGCAAACGGGACATGCCCAGGGCTGACAAGAATCGAAAAATCATGTGACAGACTCGACTAAAACTTACATTGGATCAAACTCGTAAGGCAGTTATTGTATTTCAATTTTCAATATCATTGACTATCTGACTAAAAAGTGTTTCATTTCAATTTTCCATTATGTTTCCCAAATATTTCTGTCTCTTTAGCTTGTTAAAAATATACCATATCATCCTGATAATAAGCCCATGCCTGATAATAAGCCCAGTCATGTCTATATATTTGCAGTGACAGAAATAATAATAACAAATATGATTTTATGGTCCTGCAATGTGCTTACTCTACTTTGAATAAAACAAATTTTGTCTGTCCCCTGGGCGTAATATTTTGTGCAGGAACTGTGAATCCCATATCTAGTCCTAAAAAAAAAATTCCCATGGCTTAATGATAACAAATGCAAAAAATTATGAATTTTTATCAGAATTTTATAGACATTTGTGAATCTGCACTCCAAGAAGTATACAGAATTATCGCCCTTTTTTTAACAAAATTGTTTAGAAAACGATGTTCATCAGTATGCAGTGAATGTTTGTACCACAGTTATAGACTTGTACACCTTAACCATACTCTAGTGTGTTTCATACGTTTATATAAAACGTTTATTTTTCTATAAGTCATTTGTATATATATAATTATATATTGTGATTATTAAATATTACGATAACTTACTGTACTGATAATGATATTAATTTGTATTGTCCGATTGTTCATTGAAAATATTGCAAAATTAAATACCAGGTATATATTATCCTGAATAGTGAATCAGAGTTTTGTTTTTTGTTGATTTTTTTGTTTCTCTCTTGACTGCATGTTACATTTGACAATATTGTCATTTATCCCAGTTGCTTGATAGATAAATAACATCAGTAAATACCAAGTGTTGAGTGAAAAAAATGTGAACAAATGAAAGATTTACAGGGATATCCTTTGGAAAAGTACAAGGATATAAAGATTTAGAGTAAGCATAATCTGCTTCATAATCAATGCTCTTATATGTAAAATGATGATAGGACCAGGTGTTCCAGAAAAACAAGCATCTTCTGCTTCATAATGGACAGCCTTCCATATAAATCTTGGTAACTCCAAATAAGCAACACATTAGCTTAGCAACATGGTAAATAGTCTGTATATTGCGTTTGATTTAACAGGACTATGCTGAAAATGAATGAAAGTCTTTCAGGAGTTGATTGCAAAGTTGAAGTGACAAGAAAATATTTTCTCATAACAAGTCCTGAAAACAATATTCCCAGGAAATTTTCTAAGTTGAAAGGGGCATAACTCTGCCAAAAAGGGTCACAGACAACGGGGAATCAAACTTAATCTGTACCCTTGCAACAAGAAGCCATATACCAAATTTCATTTCGATAACTCAAAGCATAAGCCAAAAAAGTCTGGAAAACAATATTCCCAGGAAATTTTCTAAGTTAAAAGGGGCATAACTCTGCAAAATAGGGTCACAGACAGCCGGGAATCAAACTTAATCTGTACCCTTGTAACGAAAAGCCATATACCAAATTTCATTTGGATAGCTCAAAGCATTACCGAAAAAAGTCTGGAAAGCTTTCGTACGGACGACGCCACTGCCGATGACGGACAAAGTGATCCCTAAGTGTCCGCCAGCTCTGCAGGCGACACAATAACAGTTGGTAGTTATGTAATTAAGTACATAAAGACTTTTTTTAGCTGAACAATTGACTACTTTAAAGGTTGACAAAAAAAAATTCATCGTAAAAGTTTTGAAAGCAAAATTGGAAAGAAATTCAATGAAATAAAGTTACTTGTTAAGGATATGAAACTAGGTCAAAGTTCAAAGATTAAAAAGAAATGTGAAAATTTTGAAAAGACAACAGAAGATACACCATGGTGTATGTATATATATTCAAATATAAAAGTTGAATTATCAGTGTCTGGTGAAATATATATATATACCTTTGAGGTAATTCAAACCTATTATGCTAATAATAATAATAACCAAACACGTTTTTCGTTGCTGACCAGTTTATTATAACAAGTCAATGTTCGAGGCACTGAGAAACATTTCATACTATGTAGAAATACATATTCTACACCAAGCTTCCTGAATGTACTGCTTTTTTTCTTCTTGAATATAAAACATTAAAAGTTCTATAAAAAGTTAACAATAATAGACTTTTATAAAAACTAACTTTTACACAACAACAAACTGGTCTTTTTGGTGGTACCAAATTTGAGCTTCAAAATATTTTTTATCACAGTGCTTTATAACCTTATTTCTATGAAACACTCTAACAAATCCATTTGCAGTTTTATATAGAAATCAGTATTCTATAAAATTATTATAAATGAAAGGTCTGAGAATTCGTCATTTACTTGCGTTATATGAAAGACAATGTGACTTAAATGTACAAATGTTTTGGAATCATCAATGTGTTCATAAATTCATGGAATTATGGAATGTAAACAACTCAACTTGAAAATTGAAAGTACAAACATTTTAAAATTATCAATTTGTAAATAAATTCAGAGAATTATGAAATGTAAATAATTCTTGTTCTTGAAAATTTGATAGTCATATCAGGATTGTAAATAACCTCAATAATTAAAAATGTAATCAATTTTACAAATCAAAAGAAAAATTTCAAAAAATTTCATAATTCAGTATATATTTGAGATTCAAGTATTCTTTGTGGAAGTAAAAGAATTGGTTAATCCGCAGCAGATATCTTTGCTAATCCACTAATCTGTTCCCCTACTTACTTTTCTGCCAAACCCCTGCTAATGCCCTAATATCTACCATAAATGCCCGAATATAGATGTTTGTATTCCTACCAACACATGGATACATTAACCAATCCTCTATCTATAAGTCAAGTGAATACCTCTGTTAATCTCAGCTTTTGGTCAGTTTTCCTAACTGATCCCTCGTAATCTCGACCCACTCCCTAATATCTTTGTCAATTTCACAATGCCTGTTAAATACTTACATCATGATAATAATAAGACACATTTTTAGCTAAAAAAATTTATCTGCCGTTACAAAGATTGTTATAAAAATATCGGATTTTTATTTTGTCTCAATTTATAATGTCAGTATTATAGCAAACATAACACAAATAAATGAACCCATAGTTAAACATTTAAACAGCACAAAAGATGAAATGAATCCGTCAGCATGTCATTAATAGCCTTTCAGACCTATCCGATATGAGAACAATAAAATGATGAAACAAAACACATATTTAAATGATATATATTTAAACAATACTTTTACAACAGAAAAAAAAGCATTTAGATGTTCTACCCTAAAAAGATAATTTGCATATATTTACTATATTTTTTACTTCCTATCCATACAACCTCAGTTTTTGATTCGTTTATTCTTAACCCTGATAGTTTTGCAAAAAAAATCTAACTCCTTCATTGTTTCTTTTAATGATATTTCTGTACCATCAAGAATAACTGTGGTATCATCTGCATATTGAGATAATGAAATTGGTTCCCCATCTATTGATATACCTTTTATTTTTCTATTATTTCTGATTCTAAGGGCCAAAATTTCAGCACATAATATAAATCAATAAGCGGAAATAGGATCACCTTGTCGACAGCCCCGTTTCAAGTCGAAAAAGGGAGATAAACTACCACCTTGATTTACTGCAGATTTAGAATTATTGCGCAAAGTCGTTATCCATTTTCTCATACTAGGTCCGAAATTAAAAAAAAAGTAAAACTTCATCAACAAATTTCCATGACACAGAATCAAAGGCTTTCTCAAAATCTATAATAAGTAACAGGCCAGTAAGATCAAATTCTTCTACATATTGCATCATATCATAGATTAATCTTGTGTTTTCTCCCATGTACCTCCCACTAATAAATCCAGTTTGATCCATATTTATTAATTTATCTAATACAGTCTTAATTCTACTTGTGATCACTCCAGATGCAATTTTATATACAGTATTCAATAGAGAAATTGGTCGCCAGTTTTTAAGAAATTGCCTAGGTTTATCTCCCTTTGGTAAACATGTAATGATGCCCTGTTTCTGTGTTATAGAAAGTTCGCCAGTTGAGTATCCAAAATTGATTGATCTTAATATAAAATAACCAATATTTTTCCAAAAGCATTTAAAGAATTCAACTGTAAATCCATCTGAACCAGGGCTTTTGTTATTTTTCATTTTCTTCAAAGTCGCAGCTGCCTCATGATATTGAATAGGTCCTTATAACATATTACGTTCTTGATCATTCAATTTTGGAATCTCAACATCTTTTCTAAAAATTGTGTTTAAATCAACCCTCTCTGTATTATCATAACGATCATATAAAGATTTATAGAATTTGGTAATTTCAATTAAGATACCATCTTGGTTTGAAATAATTACTCCATCATCTTTTTCTATTTTAGGTATGATTTTATTAGTAAAATTTCTTTTTTCTAGGTTGCAAAAATAACTTGTCGGTTTTTCCCCATCCTCTATCCATCTTGCCTTTGATCTGATAATACTACCCTAAAGTTTCTGTTTTCTGCTCTTTTCTAAGTCAGCCTTTTTTAACTCTAAGACATCTAATGGTATATTTCCCTAGCCTCTAGCTCTGCTATTTCTTCCCTTAGTTTATTTTCTATTTGACCTCGTTCCTTTTTCTTGAAAGAGGAGTATGAGATAGTTTTCCCCCTAATTTCCATAAGTAATGTTTCTAAAAATAGCTGATCATTTATTATAAAGTTTATATCATTATCATGTATTTCATCAAGTTTAGCAAAATTATAGACTGGTATAGAGTATTGTTTTTTTACTCCATGTATTGTTGATTTTACAAGGTCTAAATATTGAAAGTCTTCTAAGAGTGAGTTATTAAATTTCCACAGACCTTTCCCCTTTTTGAAATCATTGAATTTTATCTTCATTATTGGCATTGAATGGTCAGATCTATAACTAGGTTCTATATTTACTTTCTCAACACTAGATAATAGGTTTTCCGATATTAAAAAAAAATCTAAACGGGCTTGTTTCCTAGGGTTTAGTTTCCTCCATGAGTATCGTTTTCTATCAGGGTAATGTTCTCTATACACATCTGTAAGATTATAACTCTCCATAATTTGTATTACCTTATCCCTAGACCTTGGATTATTGATATGCTTATAATTTTCATAATCTATGCTAGGTTTTAAAACTAAGTTGAAATCCCCACATATTATCTCTGATTCGTTACCGAAATCCTCAATAGTGTTTGCTATGTTTTCAAAAAAATTTGGTGTATCTGTGTTTGGAGCGTAAATTCTATTATATCCATCCACATTAATACAATATATAATTTTACAAAAATATTTCTAAATTCTTACATCAAACACTATGCATCAAAATAACTTACTGTACATAAGTTAATAAATAAGTATGTTTACATTCCCATTTGCTTGCATAGAAAACATACACTTTCAAAAGAATATTCTCTGAATGGCTATCTCTTGTTTAAATCAAGTCGTCATCTACAAAATTGAACTGTCTTGTAATGGCATTAATGGCTCATATAAATGACGAAGATTTTCAGACAAACATGCCATATTATGCTAGCACATAGTTTGAAGTTTCCTCGCAAACCTCTGTCATTTACGGGGACAACCTATACAATAATATACCGGGGGGTAATTACTTTCATCAAGAACTTTCACTTGATGTCCTCCTATATCCTTCAATAGTCTTCCAAAGTGATTCACACTTCTTCTCTGAAAAATAAAAAAAAAATATGATTTTTTACTAAAACATCAAGTTCCAAATGTAACATACATTAATTATAGAAGTAAACAAACAGATGTTGTGTACATCAGCCCACAATATATTTTGGATGAAATCACACAATTAAATGAAATCACACTATATGATAATTACCTACAACTGATATGAAAATTCTACAGCTAAAACCTGTCATGTTAAGACAATTGTATCATTCTGATTTTACACATAAGAATAAGAATTTTCAATGATGTAAAAGAAAAAAACATGAAATCAGCAATTTTTTTTCAATTTCATCTCTTTATCTATTTTCTCATTTCCCTGCCACCTGATTGTAAATTTCGAAGTGTAGTTATTTGTTTAAAGGCTGGTTTGAATTTTGCCTTACTAGCTGATATTATAGTGAACTTGTAGTTGCTTGACAATAACTTACTTATCAATTCTCTGTTTAGAACAGCAACTGCACCTAGTAAAGTTACAATTACTGTCAAGATGATTATTCCAGCTAATCCTCCAGGTGTTGGCCTTAAAGAAAAAACATACGTATGCTTATTTTGTACGTTTACATATTTTGATTCTGAAATAATTCTGTTTCCATTATCAAGTTCACTCTAAATCAAGCAAAGAGTTCACTCTAAATCAAGCAAAGAGTTCACTCTCTATCAATCAAAAAGTACATTGTGTTTAATTTTTCAAAAGCTTGCAAAATACAGTTTATAATCACTGTTAGGATTAGAAAAAATACCTTCTTAAAATATATATATACAAAACTGTTTTGAACTGATCACTTTGAAAGCAGGTAGCTTTACTGATATTTATTTTCAAGTACTGTTTTTATGTGAATATATGTATTTATATTTCCAAAAGAACTCAACACAACACACATATTCCACCCATCCTGAGATTATTTGAGAATGGTAGAAAGTGTAACAAGATGTATTTACCATTCAGAGTTGTATTTAGCTTTGTCTAATGGCTGTTGTTTCATAATCTTGTCAGATACAGTGGTTGATGGAGTAAGCAACTCGTGATCTGTAGTCGTATCTGGTTTTGTGGTGACTGTAGCCTCAGTGAAATTTTCAGGGCGGAAGGTCGGTACCTCGATTGTTGAGGTAGTTTGAACTGAGATCGATGGATCTTGGCGTGGTCTGAAACAAGATGAAAAGTTTATAGATCAGCATTGATGCATCTAAACAAACATGAGACTTACAGGGCCTGTATCGCTAAACTGCTTTGGTTTGGTAAAAACTGCTTTATCCATATGGAAGGAGAAGGATTTCACAGGTTTACCTCTATGTCCAATGTTGCATCCTACTACTCTGCCCTTGGGGACTCCTGGCTCATTAAAAATGGAATCCCCTCTTTCAATTAATTTCATGCTTCAGAATCAAAATTTGGTCAAACTCCTTTCATCCCTACAGAAGAGGGATTTTACAGATTCACTTTTTATTTTCCCTAGTTGCCCCTCCTTCTCTGTCATTCTACCCCTAGTGGGTTGAGACCCTTCATTTATACAAAAAAAATTTAATCCCCTTCACCCAAGAATTACCAAAAATGAACAGAATCCTCAATAGGCCAAGGCAAACCATGAATCAAAATTGGTCACAGTGGACAAAGACAGATTTCCTTAAGGATGCTCCTGACCAAATTTGCTCCATATACCTTCTTCCAACAAGAAGGATTTTAAAGCTCTTCCTCTATTTCTCCTTTCTGAACCCACCCTTCTGTTCCGGTGGTTATCACTGACCATTTATAAAAAAGATAAATCCCATCTTCATCCAAGGATGCTTCAGACGAAATTCAGAAAAAATCTTGTCATTCATACAAAAGTCAATGGTGTTTTAAAGAATAAGCTAAATTTCCCCTGTTTGGCCCCACCAGTCAGGATGAACAGATGCATGGATGGATGGAAAATAGACTTAAAGTCACTTGGTCTTTGTACAGTGTAAACAGAGTCTTATATTTTCATGGTTTTTCACAGCTCTTCTTATACATCAATAAACCCAGGGGCCAACACATTATCTATTACTCAACATTAGGGAGTGGGCTTTACCTGTGATGGGCTTATTACCAGACATTGGCAGATAAATATGGTAGTGAAATTAAATTCTGTTTCAGTGTGTACATATCAGTATTTTTTTTTTTTTTTTTTTTAATTTTTTCATGTGAACAAATATCATCGTTTATAAAAAATAATTGTTACATATCTGAGCAATGACTTTTTGAAGGGATAAAGTTTTTTCAATGTCTATTCAGATACCACAGTAATCTGAATCATGAAAATCATAACTGACTGTTGTTTTTTTTTCTGGTAACTTACTGGACACAGGTACAGTTGTGAAGTCGAATTTCTCCTGGCTTACAGCTATCTTTAGGAAGGCTACATTTGCACGGATCTCCACAATAGCCTTTGTCAATGTCACAATGGCAACGAGTTCTGATACCAGTATGACACATGTGATAATCTGAACTGGCCACAGTATCTGTAAGTATTGAAACTACTAATAGTACTTACTCACTATTGGCCAAAAGGACCTGGTCATCTTCATATTTTAGCAGACATAGGAACACAAAACACATTTAACAATTCAAAAATTGTTGAAACTCGTTTATATAGAATTTTGAAGGATATTTTGAATTTCCTGACAACAAAGAGGCTTGTATGGAGAAGTAAACTGACCTCACTTATACTACACCAAATCCCATTCACTACTTGTGTGTATGTCAAACGAGTACACCCAACATAAAAATATATACAAACAACATTATGTCACACAGGAACACCACCATAAATTTGTACACAAACAGCACGATGCCATTCAGATTTGACACCAACATCTTGTTCACAAACTTGCAACCCACAGTTCGTATTGGTCCTCTGACGAAAAATTTCAGAAAATACTGCCGTTTCAAACAAAATGTGGTTGAAATCTACATGGGCATTAAACGGAATACATAAATGGTACTAGCATTGAAAGGCAAATTTTTTGTCAAATTCTTTATTTGTGATTCCACCTTCCAATCTTCAGGGGTCAAATCAACTTTCTGAATATGAGAAATAATCGCTTACCCCTTGTGATATTTCAGACCAAATTTGTTTGAATTATGGTGAGAAATTACGATGGAATATGCTCTAAAGGTGAAATTTTAGCTAAATTCCCCAATTAGGCCATCTGTATGACCATGTGGATTTTTTACCATCATTAAGTTTTTTTTTCTACATTAACAAAAGACCCTTCCTCCATTTCTATTAGGGCAAACAAGAGCAATCAAAAAAAGCGGAGAGCATGTTTCACAGTTGTAAGAATATATATAAAGAACATAAAGTTTCTTGTTATCAGGGACAAATCAAAGTATCACAATCTAGATGTACACACTTTACATCTTATTTGACATAAAAGCAGAATTGAATTAACAGTATTACTTACGTTGCAATTCTGAGCACTCAGGTAGGGCAACACATCTTATGATGTCAACCTCAGATGTTGTATTATCCAACATGATGGTGTTCGGTGGACAATCTCTACATGTGTCCTCAGTGTAATTTTGCACACACGACACGATTTCTGTACCTATAACAAGGCAACATAGTGTGGAGGTTTACAGCATACAACAACAGTTTCGTGTTATTGGTTTGAGTGTACAAACAGTGAAAATTAACAAAACTTCATTCTTTACGATCAGTTTGTAATACATAAAGTGTGAAAATTACCATTAGGAATTCCATTAATGTTTTCTTGTTTATAATGAAACACTTACCCACAGGACAAGTTAGTTTGAGACAAATCCTCGGAATATTGTCATCGAATCGGTCACCTGGCCGTTTCACATAACTTTCTTTATTGTGTTTTGGCAATGCAGCACCCATTGTAAGTACACCAAAAATTGCCACTGTTCCAGTGATCACTATCACTTGATATGTCAGAAATCCTACCATTTTTGAAACTGGAAGAAAAAATATAATTGGTTTATCATTCAGAATCAACCTGGTTGCATAAAAACAAGAGGTCCATAGTGCCTGCATCACTCACCTGGTTGAGTTTTCTGAAATTGATTCATTTAAACTCAAGTAAAATTATGTACGCAAATCAGACACATGGAAATTCCCTTTTCTAAAGATAGAGCCAAACCCATGTTTTCTATTTAACTGGCATATCTATCAATTTTGATAAAAAAAAAACATATTATCAGATACAGTTTCGAACTTAATGTGAAGTATTTAACTCACGTTGATTTCTGGTCGCACTCCGACTAAATTCAAGCTCCACGACAGTCATTCTGATCGCCATGAATCACAGCCCTCCTTTCAGACTAGCCATGTGACGTATATAACACATGTATATGTGATATATACGTCTCTGCTTACAGGTATGAACGTACCACTCACAAAATAAACGGTTACATTTGTCGTTTTACATAGGCAGGGACTTAAATTAACTCTGATTAACATATACCGATACACTGTAAATGATACGCAGAAATTAAACAAGACAATTTTAACAGAGCACAGTCAAAGAAAATGTACACACACGTCTTACGTCCGGTGTCCACCGGTTCAGTCTCGATACGCACCCCGTTCTAAAGCAAATACGTAGAACCACGGACTTATATACACATAAGTCCGTGGTAGAACATTCTAGACATTGTAAAGTGTGCTTATCAACGCGGAAAGTCCCTGTTTCTATTTATAGTGTGTTCACATTGCGAACCTAAATTGGGAACCCTTGGCGCGTTCCTCAAGCAAGCAAAAATACTTCGCTTGTGCGCACCTGTGTATATCACGTGACACTGACACAGAATATATCCGCGAATCATAATTTTGTTTTGGTAAACAAGTCGTATAAGTGGTTGGCGCTGAGAACCTAATTATATCTCTGGTTCTTTGTAGACCTACATTTGTTGTGTAGCTGAGAAATGTATCAATTGTTCTGCCATCTTGCATCGCTATCGCAAGTAAACACACATACAGTCAAAAAGTTCATACTGGTTTGACGGAGTCGGTTTTATCGTTCCTGAATATGCACGCAACCATGCTAAATGTTCAGAGCCCGTATTCACGAAACCATTCTCATGCTCAAGCATTGATTTTGTGCTCTAGCAAACTTTTTTATAATTCACCTAAATAATATGAAATAATACAAAAGTCAATTTTTAACCTCGAATATAGCTTTGACTGGAAGTCCTTCCGAAATTGTTTTTAAATCTTCGGCATTAATTTTTGATTTAAACAAGACGTAAGGGTGAGCACGAAATTCATGCTTGAGCATGGGAACGGTTTCATGAATACGGGGCCTGGTTTGTGTAAACGCACTACACGCGCTAATGTACAGGTAAGTTTCTGATACACACACAGTGACACAAAGAAGGAGCCATATTTTAATTGGATAATAAGACTGGTAATTACGCTGTAATTTTACTTTCTACTCAGGTAAGGACTGATTTCGTCAGAAGACGTGCCGATGTTTCAGCAAAATTAAGTTCTAGACAACGAGCGAGTTTTCTCTAGCTTTACTATTGAAGGGACTGAAAAATCGCTTCGAATCAACCGAAATTCGAGTCATCCGAATTAAAATTACAAAGATATAGAATGGGAAAAATCGGGACTTAAAAATTATTTCGACTCAAACGGAATTTCGCCTCCAGCGATTTTGAGACAACAAGTTTCAACAATATACATATGATCAATCGAGTAATAGCTACAGTACGGACAAGCGAATTGTCAAATTTTCGAGGCAACCTGCCCCTTTATCAAGACACAGATATTACGTAAATTACATTACATACATAGAACATAAAACATATTAAGGGTATTTTAGGAGAACAACTTACTTTTATCTGTAGCGCTGTTGGTATGGTGGTCTTTAGGAGAATAACTCACATTTATCTGTAGCGCTGTTGGTATGGTGGTCTTTAGGAGAATAACTCACATTTATCTGTAGCGCTGTTGGTATGGTGGTCTTTAGGAGAATAACTCACATTTATCTGTAGCGCTGTTGGTATGGTGATCTTTAGGAGAATAACTCACATTTATCTGTAGCGCTGTTGGTATGGTGGTCTTTAGGAGAATAACTCACCTTTATCTGTAGCGCTGTTGGTATGGTGGTCTTTAGGAGAATAACTCACATTTATCTGTAGCGCTGTTGGTATGGTGGTCTTTAGGAGAATAACTCACATTTATCTGTAGCGCTGTTGGTATGGTGGTCTTTCGGAGAATAAAAACTTACCCTGACATGTACCGGGTTTATATCCATCGGTCTGTGCATGCGTACACGGTGTCTGCGCCATAAGTAATTTTTAAGGATTGCGTTGAATATTTGTCCGGTTACCTGCTTTAGTCTATTTTAGGAAATTTATCTATCCTCAGGTAACCTACCCGTGGAATCAGTCTGATCCCCTCTATGTTGTACTATCCTTATGTTATACAAAAGACCAGCAACAACCGTTCTCAAGTACAAATGTTGAGTATTAACACAAGTTACAACAATGATAACATGTATGGCCTGAGTATCGAGCTAAACAAGTTACTCCTTCCACGGCCACACCAGGACTGACTCTATTTGCTGTGATCTTACAGTTTATCCTAAAGTAATTATAATCTAATTCTGATAGGGAAAGTGTCTTCTACTGATCTACAATTAAACCGTGACCAGTTAATGTCGCAATGGTGGAGAGCATGTCCAGCCAATGTTTCACGGCATGATTCTGACACTAAGGTGACCGCAATTAAACTATCTGTCTGATAAGCCAGCCAGTCACATTAAGATTTAACACAAATTATGTTCTACACTTGAATGACAAATTTCACTATTAACACTGATTATATCGATGTATACATTAAGGTGTACACATGTAAATCACAATAAAAATGTTGATGGTCAACATTAAACTTTATATTTCAACATCTTTTTCAAATACTAGTTAACAACGAAACAACATGAAATATGAATATGATTTTAATACTTTAATGATCTCAATATACATGTATAATATAAGTAAATATCTTTTAAACACATTTGTTAACTGTACGCCACACAGCTTAAGAATCTATGTCCATTTTACAACACACAATAATTCCGACAAGGAACAAAATTCCTACTAGTTATAATAAATGTGTTAACCAAAGGTGATTGCTGTGGTCACTGTTGTTAGACACTGGCGATCTACACATCTCCAACAACACCTACCATTACGGCTAGTCTTAACTGAATACTTGAATCCGTCTTGATCCACATAGTGTCTGCCTCTACCATCTTCAAGCAAATCTACTCTTACTAGTGCATTATAGTTCAAAAGTCAAATATCTTATAACTTCATAAAAATACTTGTGGAAAAAAGTAAACAATCGTTTACTCACATCTAGAGTGAATAATAATTGTTTTTATACGGACGACAATTTGTTTTATGTTTACAATCAATGTCTTGATAAATTAGTATAATGGCATTCACAGATCAATATATGAAAAAAACTACTTATAAAAGTTTGTTGAAACAACAGAATGAAGAATAGAGATATTAGTTAATTATGTTTATTGTATCTGTTTTATAAACCACTAGTTCTCTTCATGTCTTCATACATACGGCATGTGCGTGCGTGCGTGTGCGTGTGCGTGTGTGTGTCTATTATATCTGAATATGTAATGTCTGAATATTTATGTTAACATATTTTATCTCCATGTCTTTACTTTTTCCCCTTTTACAAGTTCCATAAAGCATGATTATATTTGACCAGGTGAATGAGGCTTGTAAATATTGAAATAGACTATACTTATTTTTTTTGTCCGGGAAATGTCATGTGACCAGACATACGAAGTATTCGTATGGTTTTTAACTGAGATCGAGGATTGTCCCGGCCAGTTGGGTACCGGTTGTCGCCGGACCTCAGCAGACTAGTAATACAGTAATACAGGAAAAAGAATGATGCAATACTAGCTTGGTTGATATACTATTTTTAGCAGACAAACTTGGCTGATCTGTAGGTGTCAGCTGAGGTGTCTACATGTATTACGTGTTCTAAATAAGGTATGTATGGTATGTGTGATGTTATGGGATCTTTACGCATCGGTGTATTCTTCCGCGTGTAGGCACTTGCTCATTAGTGTTCGTCTGCCACTGACACCTTGTGTTAACATGAAGACTGAAATTCATCTTAATCTACAACTCGGGGTTGGAAGATTAAGCTGTCAAACACTTAGCTCGACAATCCTTGTGTTTGACAACTTGACAATCCCCTCTCCCCTTGGGTTGTGCGTGGTGTATGTACTAATGGGTTGAGGGAAGGGAGGTAACTCGAATTGATCGGTATGAAATTACTGTATTGAGAGGCGGGAAGGCAAGGAGATCACGCGTCGTTTGAAATTTTCCTCTCAACGTTCAAGATAGCGTTAACATGGTGGAGAATCCAAAGAGAGATTAAGGTATCGCCGTTTTTTTGTGACATGAACGATTTATTTGGAGCCATCTAGACCAGTTTTAGAACCTCTCGACCCATGCCAACGCGGGCATTTTAGCTGATAACCAAGATACAGGTCACTATTGTGAGACTGTA